CCCCGCCGGGCCCCGCCCCCCGCCGAGTGCATGAGGCTGACGCTACTTTGTTGCACCTGGAGGGAAGAACGTATGGGAGAGGAAGGTGCGCGGGGCGCAGACGGGGCGGTGGGGGGCTCGGGAGGGGACGGGCCGGCGTCGCGGAGGCCCAGGCCGCGCCCCTGCCTCCTCGGGATGAGTCTGGAAGGCCCCTCCCCGACCACCCCACCCCTCCCCGCGCGATGCCTGCGCCTGGGCCCGGGGGGGGGGTGGGCTGCCTGCCGCCGGCGGACGGCCTTTCCTCCCATTCTTCCCCCATCCCCTTACCAACGACCACCCCGAGCGGTCCCAGGCACCTCTGGCCACCCTAGGCCTCTGTCCACATGCTCTTTCCACCCGGGTCTCGCCTCAGAGCCACCCCTGACTCAATCTCGAGCCCTGGCTAAGGAGAAAGACCGACTGAGGTTGCTTAAGCCTGAGTCAGAGTCGTCATCCCGCGCCTGCTTGAGGCTCCGTGACCTTGAGCCAGGCCTTCTCGCCCTGGGCCTCAGTTTCCCCGTCTGTACGCTCAGAGAAGGAGTAGCTGGCCCTCAGTATTGGGGGGGCAGAGCGGAAATATGCAGTCCGAGGATTCTGAGGCAGTGTCCAGCCCTTTGCTGGGGCCCCCACCGTCTTGCCTGTCCCTGCACCAAACCCAGTGCCAGCCGTCAGCCTTGGCCCAGGACGAATCTCATCCCAGCCTGTTTTTCAGCCCTGTTCCCCTTACTGGGGTCCAAGGCTTGGGCTGTACCACGTAGTGCTCACAGACCCCTGAGACTTCTCCAACCCAGGGCAGCATCTGGGGTATCCTTCCTCTGGGTTTTCTGCCCTCAGCCATCACATAAGCTGACCTGGTGCCAAGGCAGGTCCTGACCCTGGGTAGCCTCTTCATCCTGGCCTCCACCCAGGCCTGCTTGTAGCAAACATCCACCTCCTCTACCTTGGGTCCCTGGGTCCTCATAGATGTGCAGGCCGTGGCCTTGAGGCTGGCTCTGTGACCTGAGCAAGCCTTGCCCTTCTCCAGAGCTCTAGAGTCCCCAACTGAAGTGGGACAGCCCTAGGGGGTCTTCTGAGACCCACCCTGTCCAAGGTGCCAGGCCTCAGGGATGACTAAGCATGCCTAGTGGCTGGCTTGAGGAGGTGCCAGCCCTCCCCAGAGCAGGTGTCTGGGAGTGCCCAGCTCTGCAGCCCTAGCCCCTCCTCAGGCCAAGGCACAGCCAAGGCTTGGTTGGGGCCAGCGCCTCTGGGCTTCCTGCCCATCCTCTCCACAGAGGCTTCCACCCAGAATACCCCGGCCTGGCCCTGTCTAGTTCCTGCCCTTGGAGGGCTCTCTTAGCACCTGTTCCTGGGCACTCAGAGCCCAGAGAGGAAAAAGGGCTATGACAAGAGGTGTGACCTGTCACCTTATTTCTAAATCCCACTGTTCCCTTTCACCCCTTTACTCCTACCGTACCCTGAGTTAAAGAATGCTGTGGCTGCAGGGTGGACTTCTGCCCCTCCTCCTTAGTTTACGGATAAGGAAGCTGAGGCCAGGGGAGGCTTGGTAAGTTACCCAGCATCTCAGCAAAACTTAGAGCAATGGCCTTTCTCCTGCTCTTCAGGCACTGTGAGTGTGTGCGCGTTCACACATGGGGTGGGCACGGTGGGCTGGGCCTGCGCCCGATCCTGAGAATAGTTCCCGACTGCCTTTCACCCCTGCAGGAAGCGAGTTGCCCGTGTGTGCGAGCTGCGGCCAGAGGATCTATGACGGCCAGTACCTCCAGGCCCTGGATGCTGACTGGCATGCAGACTGCTTCAGGTAGGGCGGGGCTGGCCGGAGATGGCGGCACTCGCTGGAGATGGTGGGGCTGGCCGGATGGGGCACTGGCCGGAGATGGCGGCGCTGGCTGGAGATGGCGGGGCTGGCCGGAGATGGCGGGGCTGGCCGGAGATGGTGGCGCTCGCTGGAGATGGTGGGGCTGGCCGGATGGCCGCACTGGCCGGATAGGGCACTGGCCGGAGATGGCGGCCCTGGCAGGAGATGGCGGTGCTGGGGCCGTGTTGCCTTGAGCAAGGCCTGCCGGAGACCAGAGGCTGGACGGCAAGGAATCCGGGAGACCTGCTGTTCCTTCTGGCACAGTCTCCGGTGGCCACATCTGCACATTTCCCACTCTAGCCTCAGTTTCCCTGTCTGTAAAATGAGGCATTTTGGCAAGAAGGTCTTTAAAGGCTTCTCTGCTGTGCCATGCTGGACGTCTAAGGAGAGGAGGGGAGTGACTGCATTTCAGCTGGTGGTACTGAGGCCTGCTGGCACTTAGGCAGGGGGAAATGGGGGAGAGAGTGGGGGCAGGACACCCTGTCTTCCAGGTGCTCACACTCCCTGTGGGAGACAAAGCAGCCTCTTGTGTAGGGCCCCAGGCTGTTGTCAAGGTGCACAGCCCACCAGGACCAGTCCCTCCCTCCAGACAGACTCCCAAATGTAGAAGAGTGGGTCAGCACGGTGGCCAAGGACAGGGCAGAGCACACAGGGACCCACAGGTGGCCCAGTGAACCCAGTAGGACCATCTGAGAAGCCAGGTGCAAATGGCAGGTCTCAAAGAGTAGGCGATTTTCTGGGTGGAGATGGAATACCAGGCAAAGGTCTTGAAGTGGGTAAAGCATGGCACAGTGACAGGGTCTGGCCAGGTCACTGAACAGCAAGGCTCCAGTGCTGTGAAGGGGGGAGGCCAGAAGCATTGACTGCCAGCCAGAGGAGTTTGGGCTTTAGGCAGTGGGAGCTTCTGACAAGATTTAGCTTTTTCCTTTTTTAATAATAACGTCTGTTGTGGTGAATTGTGGTCAGTGTCATGAGACAAAGTGTATGTGAACTGCTGTAGGGAAAGTGAATTTGCTTTGTAAATTTTCACCCAAATCACAATAAAAGAGAATAATAATAAAGAAAGAAAGAAATAATAGCTGAGGAGCTCTGGTGGCACAGTGGGGAAGGCATTTGGCTGCTAACCAGAAGGTCGCCAGTTCAAACCCACCAGCTGCTCCTTGGGAGGAAGATGAGGCAATCTACTTCCAGGAAGATTTAAAGCCTCAGAAACCCTGTGGGGGCTCACAGTGAGTCAGAACTGACTCCATGGCAGTGAAACAATAATGTCTAACATTTTCTTAGCATTTAGTCAGAGCCAGGCACCATCCTAGGCACCTCACAGAGTTAAATACTGTTTCCATTTTATCCAAGGAGATTGGGACACAGAGAGATTAATTCTGACCAAAGTCACCCAGTCAGGGAGGGAAGCTCTGAACACACAGTGCCCACCCATGCTGGCTGAAGAGGCCAGCAGAGAGGCAGGCACCAGCTCTCAGGTCCCAAGTCAGGTGCTCAAGCAGGGAGCCCTTCAGGGAAGAAGGGGGCTCAGTAGGGAATGGCATGGCGGTAGGGCAATGCGGATGATGGAGGGAACGGAAACAGTCCTTTGGGTTGGACAGACAATGATTTGGGGGAGTGATGAGGAGACAAAGTTGGAGTCGATTTGTAAAGAGCCCAGGTGCCGAGTGGAGGACCTCCCCTGAAGCAGCGTGGAGCCAAAGAGCAGGCAAGAGTCATGGGTGGACGTGCCATTTAGAGATGTCATCCCAGCAGGCAGGGAATGGACTGTCTAAATAGTTCAGGCTGAGTTCATAAGGTCGGGCCCAGGATAGTGACTGAGGGTGGAGAATTTCCGCTATAGAAGGGGCAGTATTTGGCAAGTACTAGTCACGTGAGAAGGAGCTCTAGTGGCGTAGTACCTGAAGCATTTGACTGCTAACCTTCTGCTCTGCGGAAGGAAGGCTGGGCAATCTACTTCCATAAAGATTTACCGCCTTGGAAACCCAAAGGGAGTCGCTATGAGTCGGAATTGACTCAATGGCAGGGAGTTTTCCTTTTTTTTTTTTAAGTCACATCAGCCACCGTTCACTGAACATTCCTCCAATGTTACTTCATTAAGCCTTCACGTAACTGTGCTGGCTGCCATCAAGACATCACCCAGTCCTGTGCCATTTCGTGATTGCTAGTGTGTTTGAGTTACGGCTGCTGTGCCGTTCTTCCCTCGAGGGTTTCCTCGTTTTCATCAGCCATCCATTTTACCAAACATGGCACCCTTTTCTAACAAATCATAGGATTTATAATCATAGGGACCATTATTTGTCCAGTTTGCACATGAGATAATGGAGGCTCAGAGAAGTTAAGTAACTTGCTAAAGGTTGCACAGCTAAGAGCAGGAAACTGAACATCTGACTCTAAATCACTGCAGATTTGAAAGGGGGCATTGGAGTGGACATGGGGGACTGGTGAGTGACAAGGGCAGAGCCTAAAGCTATCCTAAAGTTTTCTAACGGGGTGCTGAGGAAGGTCGTGGTCCTGTTGATCGTGGTAGAATTGAGGGCTGGGTTAGAGGTACTCTGCCCAAAGCTGGCCACAGCAGGGCCGGAGAGGATGCATCACTCAGACCTGGCACTGAGCTGCTGAATGGAATTTGCGATCAAGAGAAAGCAGGGGAAGAACTTTGGGGGCCCTGGGATAGGCGCTCTGGTGGCACGGTGGTTAAAGCATTGGGCGGCTAACCAACAAGTTGGTGATTCAAACAAACCAGCCCCCTCATGGGAGAAAGATGAGGCAGTTGCATCGGTAAAGGTGGACAGCCTTGGAAACCCTACAGGGCAATTCTCTGTCCTCTAGGGGCGCTGTGAGTTGGAATCAATTTCTGGCAATGGGTTTGGTTTGGGCTTTGCTTCCGTAAATGTTTACAGCCTTGGAAACCCTCTGGGGCAGTTCCACTCTGTCCTGAGCGTTACTATGACTCAATGGCAGTGGGCTTGGGTACTGGTGCCTAGAGTAGGAGAGGGAGATGGAGATGGAGGAGAAGGAGGGAGAGTCAGGGACAGCCACAGGAGGGAACCAGTGGGGCACATGGGCACCCAGCCTTGGAGCAGGACCCTGCCCTGTGTCACCGGATGAGGCTGGCGGTGCCCTCAGCAGCTCCGGGAGGGGCCCTTGTGTGCCTAGGCCGTCTAACGGGCAGCAGAAAGGGAAGCTGGAGACTGAAATCCTTGGGTAGCCAGGACGGCTTTTGGCAGAGGCCCGAGCTCTGGGCTCTACTCAGTTCCCCTCTGGAAGCATCTCAGTGCCATGAGGTAAGACTCTGAGGCCTTGGGCCTAGTCTTGGCCTCACTTGAATGACACCAAGACCTTTGTTCCAGAGGCCCACCCTGCACGGCCCCTAACCCCTCCAAAGGTGCTTGGAGGAGGGATGTACTGAGTTCAAGAGGGGCCTACACCCTCCTGGGCAGGGGGAAGGAGACTCAGTACCGCCTGCCTTCAGGGCTTCAGTCTGCTGCAGCCCTACCTGCTCTTCTGGTTCACAAAGCTCCTTGGGCCCCTGAGTCACTCAGTCGGTCATAAATATTCACGGAGCAGCAAATATTCATCAGGTACCCTCACAACTGCGCTGTGAGGTGGGCGGCACTTACCACAGCCATTTCACAGATGAAGAAGCTGACACACGGTTCGATAACTTGCCCAAAGTCTCAAAGTCAGTAAGGGGCAGAGTCAGGACTCAAACCAGGCAGGCTGGCTTCAGAGTCTGCACTCAGTACCTCCTGGACCTGCCTCTCCAAGCCCGACAGAGCCCTGCCTTCAGGGAGCTTGGCCTTCTCGTGGCAGAGAGGACAGTAAAGAACTAAATATACTATCAGGTGCTAGGAGCCAGTGGCACTCTGAGGGAATGACATTTAAGCAGAAAACCAAAAGCGAGGGAGCAGCCCTGAAAGGATGTGGGGAGGAGGGCTTCAGGCTGGACCCTGGACATGCAAAGGCCCTGAGATAGGAAGGTGCTTGGTGCCTTTGAGGAAGTGAGGAGGCCAGTGTGTCTAGAGTTGGGGCCGAGTAGGTGTTTGGGGTACTCAGGACTGACTGGCCCACAGCCTGGTGGACCCTTCACTATGGATCTTCTTTGAATCTCACAATCTGAGCACCTGTGTGCTGTTTGGGTCCTGGGTCCCTGCCCCTGAGGAGGCTCCAGGCTGGGAGGGAAGCAAACCTCTGAACATAGAGCCCCTGGTGCTGTGATAAGTGACCCAGGAGGCTGTGGGAGCGCTGAGCAGGGTGGGCAGATGCTGCCCGGAGAACAGTGGACTGCCCCTTCTGTGGGCAGTGGGAGGGTTGCCGCAGGCCTCAGAGATGCCCCTGGTATCAGTGCTGGGGGCCAGACTGCTTTAGAACCCCATAGTCCTTTCTCCAGCTTCTCACCTCAGGACCCACCTTTGCTCTGTCCCGATGCTCCCACCCCCTGTGAGCCCCACCTCCCGGAAGGTTACAGCCAGGCCCAGAGTGGTCCAGGCTTCCCTCAGCCCAGCTGCTGCCTCTGGGAGGTCCCTTCCCAGAAGCCTCTAGGACACGTGCCCTTGGGCAGTTGTAGCTCTGGTTACATCTCCCTGGAGGCTGGGTAGGCCGCCCTGGGTGAGGAGGGTTGAGCTTGCAGGCAGCACCAGTGGTCAGAGCTGGGCCAGGAGGCAGCCTCCCCTCTCTGGGGAGACAAGATGTACTGTCCATGGGAAGTCGACCTCTGGTCCCTTGGGGACAGCACCGGAAGAAGCAGCTGCTTTCAACCTTGTCCCTGTTCCCAGAGAGGCCCTGGCCCTCGGTGCTTTTGTCGGGCAGAGGTGGAGCGACACGGAGGGCTCCCCCAGGTGTGCGGGGCCGAGGCAGAGGGCTGGCCACGGCCTCTGCCGGGGATCAGAACCTAGATTCTCCTGTCCACCTGCACCAGCACTTACGGTTCATAAGCTCTTCCTGTTTCGGGCTCCCACCAGATTCTCGTACCCCCACGTTGCTGCATCCTCCTCCCATGCTGGGTGGCCACACTGGCCACGCCCTCTGCGGCCTCCAATCCTGGCTGCTTAGAGTAGGATGGGGAAGCAGCTGGCTGGGCCTCCCCCAGCCTCCCTCTGAGGTTGTCAGAGGCCCCTGCCTAGCTGCAAAGGATGCTGGCCTCAGTCCTGAGAAGACGGCACTTTTTCAGAGGGGCCAAGTAAGTGGAGAGCCCTCCTCCCAACCTGTCCTGGGCCTGCGCCCGGGTCCCTGGTGTGAGGGCTGGGGACATCTACGGGCCAGGCCCACCTGAGTCCCGGCAGCGAGGCAGGAGAACTGAAACTCCTTGGGCACTGTTGGGGGTGGGCTCAGACGCTTCTGGCTTTTCTAGAACAGGTTCCTTGTGACGGGGGGCTGGTCCTTCAGCACTTTGGTCTTGCCCCTGGTGTTCAGGGATATGCCCATGAGTAGAGGGCACCCCTGGGAGGGACGGAGCCCCTGCCTCACTGCCAGGGGTGCTATCAGCTCTCGCCTGGCCCGCCCCTGCCCGAGCCTGGTTGCCCTCCCCTGCTCTCAGACAGACTTCCTGGATGGGGGTGTAGGGTCACTCTTGATCGCCCTTGTGGGGGTAGGTGTGGGACACCCTAAGAGCCAGGCCTGTCGTGTCCGACCTGCCACCTCTGGCTCCTGGCTGAGATGGATAGGTCAAGGGCTCCCGGATGGCTTCCGTTAACAAAAGTCCACTGAGGTCCCCCAAGAGCAAACCACTGGGCCTCTGTCCCCTGTCTAAGATGGAGGCCGAGAAGAGGTAGCCGGCCCTGGAGCCATTCTAAGGATGCCCCAGGTGCCAGCACAGAACAGGCCACTGGTGGGACCGATCCAGGGCTTGTTTGGGGTGGATGCTGGGCTGGGAAGCAGCGGGGGGCCAATGAGGGGAGACTGGAAGGCCAAGCCGGGCTGGTGGTGGGCTGCAGGGGGAGCTACTCATGGAGCCTTGGTGACTCACTGCTGGGTCTTTCACAGCTGAGAGGCCCACGGAGAGAGGCAACAATGGTGAATGCTCGGGAGTGTTTGAGTGAAGGGGTAGGCGTTTCCAGGCAGGGGACGAGCATTCGCTTTGGTCAGATGACAGAGACTGACTCCCAGGGGAAGGCAGCCCCTGGGGCTGCTCTGCAAGCCGACCAGGACCAGACCAGCCCTCCCACGGCAGAGGCAGTAGGCCTGCTTCCTGCAGTCTGGGGCCGCGGGCGGGTGAGTGGCAAGCGGCGAAGTCATGTGTGGTTGGTGGAAGGGCGAAGTGAATCACCGTGTGTGTAGTCAGCACCGGGCGTGGGGGCGCAAGGTCCGTGTGTCCTTTTGCAGAGACCTCGGTGAAGGTGCCACTTCCGGTCTGCCCGCAGTGTGCTGGAGGGCTCCCCACTCCTGGATACGGGGGGGGGGGGGGCTTCCAGAGGTCCTACCCTTCCCCTAGCCCCGGGGAAGATGCTGTCGCTGGGGGCAGGGGCCCCACAGCCCTTCTGCCAGGCAGTGCCCACCACAGAGCCACCAGCCAACCCAGCCCAGCCATATGGGCTCAAGTTCGCCTAGGCTCAAGTTTAAGCCTGTGGGGGCGGTGGGGGCGGACGATGACGTCATGGATCCGGGTCCAGCCGCTTCCACCTCCTCGCATCCCAGGGCCGTCTCCTCTGGGCCCTTGCTCCCCTCACGCACGCCCTTGGGGCGGGGCGGGGGCTCATTTGCCCTCCCTTTCTGGATGCACCCCCCAGCCCTGTGCTTCTGAACCCCAGCATTTTGTGCTTCCCTCCAGCCCCTCGCTGCCTTTCCCTCCCCCTCCCCCTCCCCCCTCCATCTCCCAAACAATAGGGAACTGATTGGATCCTCTTAAAGGAACAGTGTCCCGCCAGCACTCTTCCTGCTGTCCTGACCTCCTCACCAGCCTGTCCCCTCCCCTGTTCCCTCCTTCCACTAAATTAGCTCATAGTCAGTGAGGGCTCCTGTGTACAGGCCACATGCGGGGAGCCCTGCAAGGTGGCCGCTGTCCCGGCTTGGTGAGGAAGGGGCAGGTACTCAGGGCCCAGTCTTTCCTACCCTCCTCGCTCATGGACCGCCCTGGAGTCTGGGCTTGCTGCTCCTGTGTGGCCTTGGGCTGTCACCTACAGTGTGCAAACAGCAGCCCAGTACAGTGCTAGGTGAATTCTCTCACCTGTTCTCCCATGTGGTGTGCCCACTGGCCTGAATATACCTGTGCACACTAGGACCCCCAGTTGGGCTTTCCAGAACCCGGTGGGTCCTTGCTGCTTGGGCTCATGGGGCCAGGGGGATACGCTTTTATATTTGCTCATCCTGGCTTCGTGAGCTGCTTGTCCTCTCTCCACTGGGCCACTAGGGTGGGAAGAAGCCAGGCATGTAGGTCTAACTGCCACCGCAGCGTGGCATCTAAAAGCTGGTTGTCATTTCACCTGCTCCTCCAGGCTCTGTGAGACAGGGGTTCTGAACTTGCCAGGCCTGCACAGCTCTGCCTCCCACCCAATCCCGTCCCTTCCGGGCTGGCTTCTTCTGAGAAGGCCTTCTCTTCCTGGCCTGAAGTGGGTGGCTGTGCTGAGCTGAGCCTCGTACATTCTTCTTGGAACAGGCAGCATCTGTAGGGCTGGCTGGGTTCCGTGAACCCAAGAGACCAAACCTTGTCTTGACCTGATCCTGGCTGGTCTGCACTGGATTGCACCTTGTATCTGAACAAGATAGGAAGTCGCCTTGTAGGACCTGTGGTACCCAACTGTGTGACCTTAGGCAGTTTAGACCCACTGAGACTCATTGTGGTGGTATAGTGACTAAGACGTTTGGCTGCTAACCAAAAGATTGGTGGTTCAAACCTACCAGCTAATCCTCGGAAGAAGGTTAGGCAGTGTGCTTCCGTAAAGATTGACAGCCTTGGAAATCCAATGGGGGTCACTATGAGTTGGAATTGACTTGATGGCAATGGGTTTGGTTTTGTTTTTTGAGACTCATCATGTCATCTCTAGAGTAAGGATAGTTACGCCTACGTCATGCTGGCATATAAGGTCTAAGTAAATTCAATCAAGGAAACAGAGAGTGTTAGTACTTAGTAGGTCACTGCCACCCCTATTGGCTGCTCCAACTCCCTCCACTTTGCTCAGGGAGGGGAAGGGAGAAACCATCCATAGGATGGTGCCTGGGGGTTTATTCCAGCCCCATTTCCACTAAGCACCCAGGTCCCATTCCTCGCTCCACCTGGCTGGTGACCGAGAGCAAGTCACTTGCTTCCTCTGGGCCATCTTCCTTTGATGACAAGGAGCAGGTGCAGATAAGCCTTGTACCTCTCATCCCTGGGGACCTCTGAGGGAGGGTCTGTGGTGGGACTAGCAGGTGGACCAGTCGCCTTGTGCCCAGAGTGGCCACGGGTGGTGGTTCAGTTTGTGCACAGCATAGAGGCATTAGCTGAGAGGCCAGAGAGGCTGGAGCTGAGTCCATGCCCGGCTCCACTTGCCAAGCCCCGTGCCCCTGCCATCCATCCCCAAAGGGGGCATCGTTTTCTGATTTCCTACGGAGGCTCCTACAGACAAGGTCAAGGCCGGGGTGGGTGAGGGGTGGAGTGAGCGGTACTCAGCCCCACCCCCTCCTCCCACCAGGTGTTGCGAGTGCGCTGCCTCCCTTTCGCACCAGTACTACGAGAAGGATGGGCAGCTTTTCTGCAAGAAGGACTACTGGGCCCGCTACGGCGAGTCATGCCACGGGTGCTCGGAGCACATCACCAAGGGGCTGGTCATGGTGAGCACCCCTCCTGGGGTGCGGGGGGCATCCTCACAGGTTTCTTCGCTCCACGTCTCTTTCCTGTCACCTTGATCTTCTGTTCGGTGGCTGTCCGATTCCCCATGCTTTCTGCACCTGTCTGCTCCTCAGCTCCTTGTCTGTGGAGCCAACTCTGTTTGGGGGCTCAGAAGCGCCCCCGCCAAGCTCCCCCACAATTTGTCCAGGGCTGCCCTTCTAAGGGGAGGAGCTGGGGGGACTGAAGGGGCTGCTGAGCTCGGTTGTCCATCCCCCCACACACACAGGTGGCCGGGGAGCTGAAGTACCACCCGGAGTGCTTCATCTGCCTCGCGTGCGGGACCTTCATCGGCGATGGGGACACCTACACACTGGTGGAGCACTCTAAGCTGTACTGGTAAGAGCCCACCTGTGTCCCAGGTCTGCAAGGGACACACCCACACAGGGCCCTTGCCCTTTCCATGTGGTGCAGTCGGAGAGGTCAGTGAGCAACCCCATTGCCCTTTCCATGTGGTGCAGTCGGAGAGGTCAGTGATCAACCCCCGCTCCATGGTATAGACCCGGAGAGCCCCAGATATCAGCTTGCTCATTGATAAAACTGGATTAGAGGACAGGCTTTGGTCCCAGGTGGGCTTATAATGATTTCCTTCCGAGCTGGATTTACCCCCAAACCTTGTCCTTCCTGGTCAGCTTATAGCACAACAGAGAGTAGATCCCGAGTGACTGAGCCACGGAGAGGGGCAAAGGCTGAGCTGAGCATGCTCACTTCTGCTCCTGGGTCTGTCGTCAGCTGAGTCCCGCCTCCTCCAGTGAAGGAGCGAGGAGAAGGAGGAGGAGCCTGGGGCTGGCGGTTGGAGAGGAGTGGTGGGTGACGCTGGTGACTGTCCTGACGCTCTTTTCTCCCCACCACCCGGGACTCTGCAGCGGGCACTGCTACTACCAGACCGTGGTGACTCCAGTCATCGAGCAGATCCTGCCCGACTCCCCTGGCTCCCACCTACCCCACACAGTCACCCTCGTCTCCATCCCAGCCTCAAACCATGGCAAACGTGGCCTCTCAGTCTCCATCGACCCGCCTCACGGCCTGCCGGGCTGCGGCACAGAGCACTCTCACACCGTCCGTGTCCAAGGGTGAGTATCATATCGCCCACATCCAGGGGTAAGCCAGTGGCCTGCTGAGGGGCGGCTGGTGTGACTGTGGCCATTGAGGCTTTAGGTGGCTGGCCAATTCAAATTGTGATTTCATCCTGAATGGAAGTGGGAGGGACGGGAGAGGGTCTCCTCTGAGAATCCACAAACTCAGGTTTGCAGCCCCAGTGCATACACCTGGGTGGTTTCAAAAACCTCTAGGCAGAATTGCAAATTTTTTAGTTTCAACTAAAAACTCGTAGTGTTTCCATGCCCTAATACAATCAGAAGACAGACGACCCTTTCTAGAGGAACCCACTTCCAGGCATCATTGAATTTATTTAGGTAAACACTAGGGTTTACTTTGCGTGCCTGGGAAGATGAGGTATTCTGGTCACCAGTCAGTGGACAAAGGAAGTGAAGGCACTGTGAGCAGGAACCAGCAGAACCAATAGACCTACAAAAGCTTCAGGTATTGGGATGATCAGAAACAATATAAAACAATTCTATTGAATATGTTTGAATAAATAAGAGATGCTTGAAAATGAGTAAAGAACAAAGAAATTTGGAAAAGACTCAAAGACAATTTCTGAGAATGGAGTACACAGTTACTAAAATAAAAACCTCAATGCAAGGTTTCAACAGTAGGGAATGGTATAAAACAGCTGAAAAGAGAACTAGAGAGACAAAACAGTGAAAACTGAAAGAGATTAAAATATATGGGAAAGAGAATAAGAAGATCTAATAATCATCAATTTGGAGTCCTAGCAGAAAATAGATAATAGGGGGAGAGGCAGTATTTGAAGAGATAATGGCTGAGAACTTCCCGGAACAGATGAAAGACACCAGACTCTAGACTCAACCCCGGTGAATTCCAAATAGCGAAATAAAAAATCCACCCATGGGTACATTTAATGAAAATGTGCTACAGCATGGGCAAAAGGCTTTAAAAATTGTCCCCCCAACACTCCTTGGAGAGAACAATCATGGGAGAAAGAAGGGCTGTGTATGCACAGGGAGACAGCTCAGGGGGCAGGGGTGCATGGAGGGATGGGCACAGGGAAGAGGTGACTGTTGGGAGGAAGTGGGAGGGGAGCTGTTGCACTGTGGGAGACTGTAGTCAATGTCATGAGACAAAGTGTATGTGAACTGCTGTATGGAAAGTGAATTTTCTCTCTAAATTTTCACCCGAATCACAATTTAAAAAAGAAAAAAATTGTCCCCCCAAAATAGACAAATTACCTTCAAAGAAAGGACAGGCTGACAGCTGGTTTCTCAACAGAAACAATGAAAGTCAGCCAGCAGTGAAATGGTATCTTCAATGCACTATGTGAAAATAACCATCAACACAGAATTCTGTGCTTGAAAATATCCCTCAGGAGTGAGGTGATATGTATAACCGAACATCTCATGGGTTTGATATCTTGGCTTGGAAGTTTAGGGTCATGCTTTCATGGAACAGCCCAGTTAATTGGCCTCATAATGTATTTAGTGCTTTTGTTCTACTGTGTCATTGCATAGTTCCTGGGGTCTTAAAAGCTTGCAGCCATCCAAGACACACCAGTTGGTCTCTGTTCACCTGGAGCAACAGAAAGAAGAAAGTCAGGAATAGGAGGAAGAAATGGAATGTGTGGCTAATTGCCTCCATGAACAACTGCCTCCTTTGCAGTGAGACCAGAAGAACTGGATGGTGCCTGGCTACCATTACCAAACATTTTGATCAAAGATTCTTTGAAGAATCATCATCAAAAGGGAGAAAATGCAGAAGAGAATTTCAAGTTTTCATGGAATCCAGATTTTCTGAAGGCTGGATGAACCCCTGAAACCATTGCCCTGAGGTAATCTCTAAAGCGAAAATATCCCCTGACGCCTTCAAACAGTCATTTAACTTAACGAGTGAAAAAGGTCTGCCTTGAGCACCGTGCTCTTTTAAGAACTATATTCACAATATCAAATGGACAACAGCAACTCGAAAGGTTAGATGGAAATACTAGAGGGCAGTGATTTTGTGTCAATTAAAGGAGGAACAATTCAGAAAGGGAAGGTGCGAATGGTTGTACAACTTGAGCATAATCAACGCCGCTGAATTGTACATGGAGAAATTGACTAAGTGCATTTTGTGCTGTGTATGTTCTTAACAACAAAAATCAATCTTTTTAAAAATAGAATGAGGGTGAAATAAAGATGTGTTCATGCAGATAAAAACAGATTTGATGCAGATAGATCATCCCTAAAGAAAATTCCAAAGGCTATGGAAAGGTCAGAGTTGCGAGAAGAAGTGAATCTATGAACACGTACAGTGGAGGCCCTGCAGGGTGCCAACAGTAAGCACTTGACTACTAGACAGAAGGTTGATGGTTCAAACCCACCCAGAGACCCTTGGAAGACCGGCTTGGGAATCTGCCTCTGAAAAGTTACACAGCCTTGTAAACCTCATAAAGCAATTCTACTCTGTACACGAGTCACCATGAGTCAGAGCCTACTCTGCAGCAGCTAACAACGTGCATACGTGTATATATGGACTCACTCCTCGGAAGGAAGGTTGGGCAATCCTACTTCCGTAGTGATACTGCCTCGGAAACCCAAGGAGGGGTCGCTATGAGTCGGGGCCGACTCGACGGCAAACAACAACAACAACAATACATACGTATATATGCGTGTTGTTATTTACCGAACCATCTGAGAGTAAGTTACGTGTGTCATTAGCCCTTTCCTGCCCAAAATACATATTAAATACTCTTCTTAAAACGAAGAATGTTTTCTTATGTAATTATCAATAGAATCTCATAGTACAATTATCACATTTAACGTGGATATGCTATTATCTGCTGTTCGATTTATATTAGAATTGTACACTCACGTCAGCACTGTTCTTTATAACTGAGGTAGCTCAAACGGTTCAGTGCTCGACTACTGGCTGAAAGGTTGGCAGTTTGAACCTACCCAGAGGCTCCTCGAAAGACAGGCCTGGTGACCTGCTTCCAGAAGGTCACAGCCTTGGAAGCCCCGTGGAGCCCAGTTCTGCTCTGCACACAGGGCCGCCGTGAGTGGAATCGGCTCGTTGACAGCTGCCTGCAGCAGTCTACATACTGGAGTTTACCATGGTCTCAGTTCCGGTCTTTACAGCAGCCCCGCCCCATGCGGGACCAATCACGATCCACCATTGCATTTGATTGCCATGTCTCTTTGCTCTCTTTTAATCTGGGACAGTTCCTCAGGCTTTCTTCATCATTCACGACCCTGGCATTTTTGAAGAGTACTGACCAGTTGTTGCGTAGAATGTCTTTCAATCTGGGCTGGACTGATGGATCTTCTTTGTTAGACTGAGGCTCTGTGCTTTGGGAAGGACATGGCATTGAGTGAAATGGGGTCCTTCCTGGTAGACCTGCAGGAAACATGTGCGTTCAGTGTGCCAGGTGCCAATGTTGACTACTTGGTCACAGTCTGGTCCAATTTCCCTGCTCTTAAGGAATTTTTTTTTCCCTCAGTAAGTAATTTGTGAAGAGATTTGCACCTGCAATATCCCGTTCCCCAGCCACCTTCCACCAAATGCCTTCAGCATCCATGCTGATTGTTCTCTCTCTTACCTCCTCTGCTTTTGTGAGCTGTCTCTCTAGTAAGGAAGTGCTTCTTCGTCACCGGAGAATCCTATCGATACTGAAGCATTTTTGTGAACCTGTTTTCCTTAGACCTCTTGGTATCCTCTCTGCCCCCGCCCCCATCCCCCACAGGAAGCTAGGGCAGAGACAGAGTGAACATTCCTTAAAAAGCTTGTATGAATGCAAAATTAAAACCAGGTAACTAAAAGGTTCATGTAAACAAGAAAATTAGGCAAATTCTATGCGTGAGCTGTTGTCCGTGGCTAACAAGGGCCTCTAGTGGTGGCTCAGAGCAAGCTGCTGGTCCCTTTCTGCCACACCTTGCAGGGAGAGTGGGGGTCAGGTGGGAAACCAGTGGATTCGGACCCTTGGAGGACTCATCTTACCCTAACACTCATCTGCCCCAAGCATACCAGGCCATTGGAAGAATAAGTCTGTCACCATGATAGAGACAGTGTTCTATTGAAGAGACGGAGCATCTAGTCTAGAACAGCAGACCGCTAGAGGCATGCGTGCCACCTTTCTCCGGTCACACACCCGAGGCAGACACAAATAATCTGTGACCGAATTCTTCCCACCAAACCAGAACTCAGTGTTCCGGACACTTGTTGCCTGGCAATCACAGAGGATCAACCTCTCACCCTGACCCAGGCCCCTGGGCTTTGGTTTCCTGTTGGGGCTCCAGGGGCTGGCAGGTACTGGTCTGACCACTGCTTTATGCCCACAGAGTGGACCCGGGCTACATGAGCCCGGATGTGAAGAACTCCATCCATATCGGTGACCGGATTCTGGAGATCAATGGCACACCGATCCGGAACGTCCCCCTGGATGAGGTATGGGGTCCTGAGTCTGGGGAGCAAGGATGAAGATGATGCCTTCCTGCCTGACACCACCACTCCCCCCACCCCCAGTCCTCCTGCCTCCTGTCGATTCACCTGTCCACACCCGCTCTCCCCAGATCGACCTGCTGATCCAGGAGACCAGCCGCTTGCTCCAGCTGACTCTCGAGCATGACCCCCACGACACACTAGGCCATGGGCCAGGGCCTGAGCCCAGCCCTCTGGCTTCCCCGGCTCAGACTCCCATTGGGGAAGCAGGCAGCACAGCCCGACAGAAGCCCATCCTGTAAGTCTGCCTTGTCCCTAGCTATTTTCACAGACACGGTGCCTCGGAAGGAGACAGGATCTGATCCCCACCTTCTGGGGGCTCACAGTCTGATGGAAGGGTCAGCCTTGTAAAAGGCTTAGTCCCTGTGCTGGGGACTAAGAAGGACAACGAGTAGTGGGAAAATAGGGAAGTACCTCAGTAGGCTGGCTCTGGGCTCAGGCTGTACCACCCCCAGCTGGGGAGTTACAGAGAGTGTTACAGGGAGCCCCTGGTAGGCAGGTAGCTCGGGATGATGGGGATATCAGGTGTGGTGGGGAGGGGTGGGTTCGGAGGCTGACGCTGATGGCAGGGGTCTGGAATTAGTTCTGCCCATCGTGGGGTCCCCCTGAAAGGGCATTGCAGCAGAGTGAGGTGTTGTGCAAAGACCTCCTGGTAGCCTGTGCGGGAGGGAGGGCTCTTGGCAGGAGCCTGCTCGAGGGCTACTGCGCTGGCCCAGGCGGGAGGTGCCGAGGGCCCAGGGTCCTCCTCCATCAGGCACAGGAAGAAGGCAGAGGCACTCTGGGCTCTCTCCACTCTTCTGTGGGACCTGCTCGGCGTGCCTTCCGGGATGACGGCACTTAAAGTGATGGTGTGCGTTTCCTGATCACCCTCATGTGCCTGGAGCCCAGGCCACCCTGTGGGCCACCTGCACAGCAGGGTTATGGGCATCTTAGGTGGTCTGCCTTTGCACCTTTAGGCCTGGGACAGAACATCTGGTCCCAGGACCACCAAGCAGAGGAGGCCAAGGACAAACTTTTCACTGCATGGTGGTGGTGGTGGTATGTGCCATCCAGTCGGACCCAACTCATACCGACTGTTCCTTGGGTTTCCAAGGCAGTATCGCTACGGAAGTAGAACGCCCAGCCTTCCTTCTGAGGAGTGGCTGGTGGATTTGAACTGTCAGCCTTCTGGTTAGCAGTCAATGTCTTAGGCACTACGCCACCAGAGCTCCCCACTGCATGGTAGTGGGCCCTAAACAGGAAGACCAAGGAGGACTGGAGGGAGCTGGAAGGAATGAGAGGCTGGGGCACGGCACACGCCCGAGGGCGTGGCCTAGGTGGGGCATGGCAGGCAGCGGGGTCGAAGGTGCTCACGTCCCCAGTGACGCTGGCTTGGTGTGTACCTGCCAGCAGGAGCTGCAGCACTGATAGGTCTCCGGGCGCTGGCTCCCTGGGCTCCCCAGCTGCCCAGCGCAAGGACCTGGGCCGCTCTGAGTCCCTCCGCGTGGTCTGCCGGCCTCATCGCATCTTCCGGCCATCGGACCTGATCCACGGGGAGGTGCTGGGCAAAGGCTGCTTTGGCCAGGCCATCAAGGTACGGGTGTGCCAGGGCGGGGGCAGGGCTGTGGGTGGGATCCAGCCAAGCCAGAGGGGTGAGGCTCATCAGTTCTCCCTTCCTCCCCACCATTGCCCTCCAGGAGTCCACAGGGGCAGGGATATCAGGCATCGGGACTCCCTGTCTGGTACTCTCTCCTCCACCTTTGTCCCCTCAAGCTACTTAAGGGAGGGGACCTACTACAGACAAGGTCCCGGACTTTAGGTGGAGTTGGTTGTTGAATGGTTGGTCCTCCAAGAACAGACATATGCACACCCATGTTCATCGCAGGACTGTTTACAACAGCAAAAAGATGGAAACAACCTAGGTGCCCATCAACAAAGAACAGATAACCAAATGGAATACTATACAATGTTAAAGAATAGCGTAGAACCTGCAAAGCATCACATAACATGGATGAGCTTGGAGGACATTATGCTGAGTGAAATAAGTCAATCACAGAAGGACAAATACTGTATGAGTCTTACCATAAAAAAGTCAAGGAAAGGTTTATATATGGAAGGAAACTTTGTTGGTTACCAGGGGTGGGAGGGGAGGGAAGAACAAAAATAAAAAATGGCTGACCCCTAACAATATGTATACAGATATAAAATGTAAATAAAAATTACAAACCAGAAAAAAAAAAAAAGGTTGGTCCTCAGGACAGGAGGTGGGAGGGCAGAGCAGCCCAGGCTGACCTTGAAATCCCCTCGGGCCCCACACTGAGCCTGAGGCCCACCTATGAGTGGTCCTGGAGCTGCTCACCCATAGTACTCTTCTTTTTTTAATGTGGAAATCTTAGAAAATTATTTAGCAATAATTTTTGGTTAATCAAGAATGAATTCAACACTTGTATCTCGATTTCAGGATCTACATTAAAGCTTTGATGTGTGTTGGCAAGCTGAGCCAACATCATCAAATTCACAAAGACCTCCCCGAGGTCTGATGTAACCTGGCCATGACCAGGCTGGAAGAAGTTGTATGTTCAAGCAGCCCCAAGCCCAGTCCTTGTCCTTGGTCCCCTTGCCAAGGGAAGAATAACTGGTCAAACCACCATTTGACCTCTGGGAGACAGCCCGAGCAGAGCAGAGGAAAGACAGTGGGGCCCGTTCCCTGCCAGCTGGGTGACCTTGGCCCAGGTTCCTCATGTGTAAAGTGGGATTCGTAAGTCCCAGTCCCACATCAAATCAAGGTCAGAAGTCTGTGAGGTGCTCCAGGCTGGCCGTAGATCCCCCCACCCCGAGTCCAGTCTACAAGGAGGCCATAGCAGAGAGCCACTCGCCAAGCTGAGTCTCCGTGTCTTGGGGTCCCCACACAGGTGACGCACCGGGAGACAGGTGAGGTGATGGTGATGAAGGAGCTGATCCGCTTCGACGAGGAGACCCAGAGGACCTTCCTCAAGGAGGTCAGCCCTGCTCCCCCACATTTCTGGGGCAGGGAGCTCCAGGAAGATGTGACACTCAAGCTGCATGTTGAAAGAAGGGGTTGTATTTTCTGGGAGGGCATCTGTGCAGTGGGGAGCAGTCCAAGCAAAGGGATCCATGGGTCTGGGGTGGCAGGGGTGAGGAGGGGGGGATGTGGGTAGGGCCCCGGGCCCAGCCTGATTGTGCCCTGCCAGGTGAAGGTCATGCGCTGCCTGGAGCACCCCAACGTGCTCAAGTTCATCGGGGTGCTCTACAAGGACAAGAGGCTTAACTTCATCACCGAGTACATCAAGGGGGGCACGCTGCGGGGCATCATCAAGACCATGGTGAGGGCCGGGGCACAGCCCCCCGTGATTGCTCCACCCCATCCCCTCCCACTACATGCCCCTGGCCAGAGCCCCCTCCTGGGCCTCAGGATCCGCATGTCCTCAGTGGGAATCAGCATCTCCCACCTCAGAGGCCCTCCAAGCCCTGCTTCTGAATCAAGAGGGGGAGCACAGAGTCCGTCTAAAGCCAGCAGGAAGCTGGGCTCCAGAGAAGGGGGACAGCTTCCCCAAGGGGAATGTAGCTGCCCTGCTAAGCCCCCCAGCCTCACAAGCAGACAGTTGTGGGTGCAGAAGGGAGTGGAGGGTGAGGGTCTTCAGACTCTCTGGACACTTGTCCCCCCACCCACTGTCACCGCCCCTGTCCCTGCCACTGTGGTCCCATGGGCTCATCTCTGGCCATGTTCCCCCCCACCCCCCAGGACAGCCAGTACCCCTGGAGCCAGAGGGTGAGCTTTGCCAAGGATATCGCTTCAGGAATGGTGAGTACGCTCTGGTTCTGACCTCCCGGGGCACAGGACGGGTGTTCTGACCCCACTTGGAAGGTCCCCCTTTCCCACTGACCTGTCCCAGTGCTGAACCCTCCACCATTAGCTCCTCCTAGAAACAGAACCCGCAGGAAGCTTTGAAGAAGTGGAGGGTATTGACTGAGAGGAAGAACACCCCGACTGGCCTGATGGGGGCTGGGAGGGAGGTGGGAGCCCCGGGGGCAGGGTTGGGCCTGGCCTCTCTGCCGCCTGACTTCTGTGTCCCCACCCCAGGCCTACCTCCACTCCATGAACATCATCCACCGTGACCTCAATTCCCACAACTGCCTGGTCCGTGAGGTGAGCAGCCCTGGCCCCAGGCCACTATGCTCCCACTCTCAGGGCCTTCCCTAAACGGGGGTCCCTGAGTCACCTTCTCACTCCAGTTTGAGGTGTGCTGGGGGCACCCACAAACCTGTGGGAAAGCACCTCAGGGTCAAGAGACGGACGGACCCGAGTTCAAGCCTGGGCTCAGCCATTCACGTGCTGTGTGGCTTTAGCCACAGCACTCAGCTTCTCTGGGTCACAGAAGAGAAAAGCACCTGCTGCCGCATTGGCCACCCAGGCTTGGACAGGGGTTGAATGAATGGGTGAGGGAGATGTGCAGACCGTCAGGAATTCACAGAAAACAGCCCAAGGGGCCAGAGGAGAGTGTAGGTGTAGGGGCTGGGTGGGCAGGGCAGGAGGCTTTGAGAGGATTTCTTAAGGAGGGGCTGGTGATTGCGGGGACCACAGGCTGCTCACAGAAGCCTGCAGAGGAAGTTCCATGCTTCACAAGAGACAAGGCCAACACATAGCATAGAGAGGGAGGTGCAGGTAGGAGTTTGCTGAATAACGTAAGGGCAGGAAGGATGTTTCAGATGGCGGGAACAGCATGTACAAAGGGCCGGAGGAGGGACGTTCAAGAGGTGATGAGCTGTTCACTAGGACAGGCGGGAGTGCGGGAAGCAGTGAATGGGAGCATAGAGGTGGGAGGGCTGGATTCCACAGGCCTCCCAGGAGCTGCGTAGCAGCGCCCCTGCTGGCCGTGAGGAGTTGTTGCGGGAGAGAGGAGTGAGCGGGCTGCTGGGCTTCCATCCCATGGCAGGGACCATCCCTTGAGAATCTGATGAGAGCTGTGAGTCTGTCTGTCTCCATCTGTGCACGGCCAACACCTGTTGACAGTATGGGGTCCCTGGGGTCCAGTGAGCCCTCACTGGTTTCCCTGGAGCTGTGTTAGGAGACCCTGAGGATCTCCTGATCAGGACAGGTCAGGAGTCAGTGTTTAAACAGCCCTGGTGGCAGTGGTGCTTGGGAACCACTGCCCGGCAGTGAGTTTTTTAGTTTTTAGCCCAGGGTGGGGATCCTGGGTTAGGACTCCTTGACCAGCTCCTGCTACCTGGTAATATACCTGAGGAGACGGAGCCCAGAGAGGAGCCACGTCCACCTGAGGGCTCCGTTGAGGGGGGCCCAGGGAGCCCGTTTGGCCCTTCCCCCACAGCTGCTGTCTCTGCAGCAAAGTGTTACCTCAGTGACTGTCCTTGTTTGTGTCACTCTCAGGTGGGTGGCACAGGGCCCTTCCCTTCAGGATGAGCCTGATCCCAGCCCCACGTGGCTGCAGCCCTGTGCCGTGGCCCCCTCTGTACCTTCGTGCCCCGGACACAGAGGCCCCACCTGCCCTGCCCTGCCCTGAATGCCTACGCAGCAATGGTCAACCCCAAGGCTGGCGAGGCAGGTCCAGGCTACAGGGCCCCCGGACACCGGGCCCGAGAACATCCAGACCCAGGAACTTCGAGGAACCTGCCTCGTCAGTGACACTAGGGCTTCCTTCTTCCCTGTGGCTCTCAGACACCCCCTCCTTGACATGCCGATCTCGGAGGGGTGGACACAGCTGTCAGCGTGTCTGCTGTGCACAGGGTGTCAAGCTGAGCCTGGGAAGGGCTTCACAAGCCTGGAACAGGACAGCCAGGCTCTCTCAGGTCCTGGGTCTGAGCATTAGCTGGGTGACCTCAGCAAGTTGCTTAACCTCTCTGGACTCATCTGTCAAGTGGGGATAAGATAGCATGTAGGTCACTGGGCTGTTGAGAGAATTAAGATAAATCCGGGATGTGCCAAGCATAGGACCCGAGGTCTCTGATTACAGTTAACTCTTTTCCTTTCCACAGCAGGGCAGAGTGCCAGGGCCCTGTGAGAAACAGAGGAGGTGTCCACAGGAGAGAGGAGTGGGGCACCAGGATGGTTTCGGGGGGCGGGAAGATGGAGGGAGGAGTGCCGGCATTTTCCGGAAGCTTGAAATAACTCCATGAGAAAAGAGCAGTAAGGGGAGGGGTCCCCGCCCTGCACCTGACCGCTCTGAGGAGTGGGGGTATAGCCCTTGGGCTGGGGTCAGAGGCTGTCTGGGGATCAGAGTGGGCTCTGGGCTGGAGTGGGGTGGCTGATAGTGCCAGCGCCGTGGCTCATTGTGACCCGTGGTTGTCGTCACGTAGAACAAGAATGTGGTGGTGGCAGACTTCGGCCTGGCACGGCTCATGGTGGACGAGAAGACGCAGCCTGAGGACCTACGGAGTCTCAAGAAGCCGGACCGCAAGAAGCGTTACACAGTGGTGGGCAACCCTTACTGGATGGCACCCGAAATGATCAATGGTGAGCGGTCAGTGAGTGGCCATCACAGCCCCTCCCAGGACCCAGGGTCTTCCCACACCTCCTCTGATCCCAGGCACAGGTGCAGCCTCCTGATGCCTGCCCCCCGGCTGCCTCAGCAACTCCATGTCCTGTTTGGGTCCTGTATGAACTGTGGCTACTGCAATAATTCACTACACACTTAGTGGCTAAAAACAGCACACACTTACTCTCGCAGCTCTGGAGGTCGGAAGCCCAAAACCTGTCTCTCGGGGTGTTAGCAGGGCTGGTTCCTCACAGAGGCTCTACAGAAAGATCTCTTTACTTGCCCTTTGCCCCTTACAGAGGCTGCCTGCGCACCTTGGCTCATGGGCCCTTCTGACTTCAAGGCCAGCATTGCAGCTCTTCGCGTTTCTCTCCCCTTCTGACCTTTTGTCCCCGTCTTCCCTAACTGACCCTCCTTTCCCTTCCTGTATGGACACCAGTGATGGCATTCAGGGCCCTTCCCCAGCCATCTCAAGCTAGACACTTAGTCACATCTACAAAGCCCCCCTGGGCATGGAAGTTGACACTCTCAGCCTCCCGGGGTTAGGATGTGGGTATCTTTCTTTTGGTGTCTTTTTTTAACCATTGAGGAATAATTAATATAAAATGCAATTCACCCATTTTAAGAGGATGCTATGATAGGTTTGTTGTTTTGTTTTTTTCCCCATTCTCCCTATCCCACATTGTCCCCTCTCCCCATCCCTCGGGAACCACCAGTTTTCTTTTGTCTGGATGGATTTACCTATTCCAGACAGTTCTATGACAGGGATCACTTATTTCACTCAGCGTAGTGTTTCCAAGGTTCATCCATGGCGTGCGTGCACCAGCAGTTCATTCCGCTTTCTGGTTGAGTGATACGCTATGGTGTGTATAGACCACACTTTGTCCAGCCACTCATCTTTTGATGGGCACCTAGGTGGTTTGAGGATGTGGATGTCTTTGGAGGACCAGTCTTCTGCTGACCACAGGGTCCTGTTCTCCCCTGCCTTGCTCCTTTTTCTCAGCCCTGTCACCTAGTGGTCCCATGTTTGCCCAGGCTGTAGGGGTTATAAAGCCCTCCATGGTCCTCAAGGAAAATTTAGAGTCAAATTTAAGGGCCCTAATATATGATATAAATAGACTATCAAGCATAATTCAAAATGCACCAACAGCAGAAGAGAAGCCAGATGATTGGGACCTTCTAAAAGTTAAATTG